GCGTTAGTCCCCATATCATTTAACAATAAGAGAAAGTAGCGAAGGAATGCCAGAGTCTGTTTGTATACATTGCCTCAATATATTGCAAATATCTAAAGTTGCAGATCTTGACCTTTACTATCCTTCCCTTCAACCACAAATTTCTACTGTTTCAATTATTTTACTCTCTCTCTCTTATAATCTTTGATGTCTCTGGTCCTTTAATACTTCATATTAATAATATAAAAACTAACACTCACTCACAAAGTGTTGTACATTATTTTATTTATTCCTCTTAACAGTCTGTATTATTATCCTCATTTTAGAGATAATGAGACTCAGAGAGACTTAGAGACTCACCCAAGATCACACTGCTACGACTTCTGATATCAGGATAAATGGAGACATTAGATGCTTTATTCTTATATCAATCACATACATTATTGAAAAAATATATAAAATATTAAAAGAAGCAAGTATAGCCATCCTAAAAATAAGAAGATAAACTTTTGGAGAACCATAAATTATGTAGAGAAAACTGTGTTTCATATAATGAAATGGTGAAAGCTGAGAACAGAATTCCAGATATAAATAACAAAAGGCCTAACACAAGGATCTAGGCACACAACTGCCACTCTCCAGGCTAGGCACAAGAAAAAATTATGCCTGTGTTCAGGAAGGAGTAGAGCTTGGGGTAACTAATAGAACAATGTCTCTGATTGCTAATAATGTCAGGAGAAATGGGGAGCATCCAAGCTCAGAAAACAAGCTCCCAAGTTCCCCATCTGGCTGGTTATAATGACCATTCCATGTTCTATCAGTGGCTCCAACCAAACTTTAGCACGTTTCTATACTTTCCACGATACATGCTGTATAAGCAGAGGCCATAGTCTTTCAGGCATCTCAGCTGTATAAGGAATGCACAACTAACAATGTCCAAGTGTTGGAATAATAATACCAATTCCATGAAAGACTACAAACTCAGTAAAGGTTAGGGAAGGGTCCGAGACTGTAGAGAATTCAAACTGTAACTTTCAAATAAGTAAAATTAATGCACTTAGATAACAGATTATGGTATACATGAAAGAAGAATGAGTACTTATGAGAAACATTTAGAAATTCTAGAACTGAAAAATGGTAAATCTGGGACTTAAATACTGGTCTTCTGCTTCCAAGTTCCATGTTCTCTCCTCTGATATCATAGCTAACTCCTACAAAGACATACAGGTGCATATACATGCTAGTTTGCTTATTTATTTAGCTTCCTCATTACTTTCTCTCAATAGTCTTCACCCCATAGTCCATCAGAGTAACGTATTATTCTCTTAGCTCCACATCTTCTACTCTGCACCTCGCAAATTTCTAATCTTGTGGTTCTCAACCTTAGTTGCATATTGAGAGATATGTGTAAACTTTAAAACAAACAAAAAAACACTATAACCACCCGAGACTAACTAAATAAGATCTTCTTAAGAGTTGGGCTCATACACTGATACTTTTAAAACCTCCTTAGATGGTTCTATAAGAATTGCCACTGTTTTTTGTTTCAGAAAGGGCTATCCACTACACGTGCACCTCCCCTTACATAGTACAAAGTGGTATCTAGGAAGAAACTGCCTAGCTAGGGTCACTCCCCAGCATTGTCTATACCAAGGTAGGGCCAAGTGATTAGTTCTCATCATTAGAATGTGAACTGAAATCATGCATTTCACTTCTGAGAAAGGAAGTTTCTAAAAAGCAGGGTATATTTTTTGTTCTCTACCCATCTGTTGACTAGATTCAGGTGATTTTAAAGAGTCTAGCAAATACAAAACCACAAGATGGAAGGAGCCTAGGTCTATGAATCACTATTTAAAGTTATGTTCCAACTAAGTCCTTTATCATCATAAAATTGCTGAAAAAGATTTATAAGTTTCCAAAATTCTAAGGTTTGTTTCATCAGCTAGAATTATCCAGATCAAGAGGAATGGGTACCTTGAAATGGGGTGCTGCTGTGATAAAAATCTCAAATATGTGGCATTAAATTTGAGATCAGGAAGCAGGCATCAGAAAAAATAACTACCAGAGGCTGGGTAATTTGAAATAGTGGTAAAAAAAATAATTGTAAATATTAACTTCAATAATATGGAAAGCAGACCAAATACCCATAATCGTGTAGCTCTACAGCAGTGTTTTCAAGTGGGGATGATGTTGCCCCCTGAAGGACATTTGGCAAAGACTGAAGACAAAATTGAAATGCATATTTCAGTTATTTTTCAAGCCCAACTCAATTGTTACGACTCTAGTTCTCCTATCAGATTGCGCTACTTTATGTCATTCAGGATTGATAAGTCTTGCCTTTGCATTCCATCAGGATTGTAACACTTAATTCACTGTTTTCTGCATTTCTCTTTCTCTCTATTGTAAATCTCTTTAAGCGGATAGTCTTATCCATGTATCCCATACATTTCCTAGGACACATCTTATACACAGAAAGTATACAATTAGTGTTTGCTGAGTATGTTTGTTGAATGAATGTCTACTACTCTGCAAAGCATTGATCCTTGATCTCGTAGTCTAGTATTAAGAGACACAAATCTCAAAAATCACCTCACAATATACTACAAGTCTTATAGACTCTGAGGCCTTACACATATAAGTTCTCACACTAGGTATCCCAGTGACTGCTCACCCTTGGGCATTCTTTCACATCAGACTTCTAATTGCATGAGACTAGTTACTGTGTGAAGTTGCCAGCTGCCTAAAATGGGGAAGAGAGAGTACATTTCTAAGGAATAAAGTTGGTGTAAAGAGTATAAATGATGGTCTTTTAAGGAAGTTAGGATTCGGAACATGATAAACTAAATTTTGATACTTGAGTAGCAACAAGGATACCAGAAACAGAAACCACTATGGCTGCCTGTGAGAAGGAATGGTCACAGGCAAAGGCATGTGTATATATCGGGAAAGGCTAATTAAGAAAATAATGATCTATTTTGCTATTTTAGACCAAGGAAGATAAACTTTGTTTGGCATTCAATTAAAAAAGTATTTTAGCTCCTTAGCCCATCTAGGTAGCTCTGACATTAGAATGCTAATAGAGAGTTTACTACAGAGGGGAAACAAAGCGACAATTTTAATTTCCCTTCCAAACTTAAATCCTGCTTCTCAATTGAAGATACAAATCTGAACTTCTGAAGATAGTGACTGGAGGTACATTTGGGTTCATAAGCATGCAGGTAATAGAAATGAGTAAAGTCACTCAGAATCAATAAAAAACAAGAACAAAGAAAAGCTTAAAATGTAGCAGTTATATAAAGTGTAAGCCTGCGAAGGAATGAATAAGCGAAATAAATCATGATGCTTTCCTTACATGGTCTCTATCACATCATGTTGGCTGTTTTATATGAGCTTACAATCAAACCAGATGGGTTTTTTTTTTTTTTTTGGTGTTGTTGTTTTTCAAATATCATTTTTCCTCATTAATTCCAAGATCCTTAAGGGCAAGAACCATTCATCTTCTTATATTTTCCTACCCCTCTCCCTCAGTAGTCATTTGCATATACTAAGACCCTATCAATCCACTTCCCTCACTATCCACCCACCAAAAGTCCAAATCTCTCACAGAAAGCAAGTTCCTAATTTCCTTTATCAATACCCGCAGGTAAACCTACTCTCACAGAATTCTTGGCTACAAGGAGTATGGGTGTTTAAAGAAGCACTGTAATGTACAGGTTGGTTTTCTGAGAACTGTTGTATCAAAACTCATCAAGGGGAAAACCTGGCAAGACTAGTGAGAAAATTAAGTCTGTGGCTAATTTCTTAATGGAGAAAGAGAAAGCTAAACACACAGCCTCTGGTGGGACATTAAGGGAAGAGGAATCAGGAACTAAGAATTTAAGACTTTGGGGCACATACAATAAGACCTGAATAGCTTCTGTCATCATCAACTAACCATTCCCAACTACTGATCAAATGCATTTAAGTTGGCACTGACTTTTTAACATTTTATAAAAAAGAAGAAAAGCAGAGATTTCGGGGACCATCTATAGCAGCACACACTACTAAGTAGCAGCACACACTACTAAGCCTGGGACTATGATGCTGCAATACACATCATTACAAAATGAACCTCACTGTAGCCCATATTTCCTTTTTTTCCTCTCTAACCAACTCTTCTTGTATTTCAGCCTATCCTTCCTTCTTTTCCCCAGATCACCTCATTTTTCCCCCCTTTGATCTGTATGGATCTGAGTGCATACATACTCATGTGGTTTTGATAGTAGGAGTTTCCAGTATCTTTGGTCTAGCAAGACTTTTATGTAGGGACAATACTGTGCCCATGACTCGAATTTCTCTGAGACTGTCTCATGAACTAAAGAGAAATGTTTCCAAGAACTGTTTCTTTTCCCAATGGTGGGTTTTAAATTGTTTAAGTGAGAAAGGATCCTCACTGAGCATGGCTAACACAAAAATCAAAAGACAGATGACCCAAGTTTCAAATGCTATTAGGTTGGAGATAAACAGAAATAAAACTACAGAGTAGTGAAAGAGGAAGAATAACCTCATGAAAGAGTAAAGGAAAGGGCAGTTGCTGCCACAAGTGCACTGGAAAATAGAGAAGTTCAGACATCCATGAGAGGTCTGGAGGGAGGGAGGTGGGTGGCCAGAAATAAAATTTGAAGACTGGAAAGGTTAAGAGGTTAGCCTAGGTTGGACGGTACAAGTGTAGGCTTTGGCATCAAATACCTGGGTTTAAATTCTTACCTGCAGCCAAGTGATTTTCAGCAATTAAGGGTAATGAGCTGAGCAACAGTATTTCCACCATAATTTGAGGATTATATAAGTATATTGCTTAGAACATAACATAGTATTCAGCAATTGGCAGCTTTTATACTTATGTTTAAGGATAAGAGGGTCCAAAACAAACTATAGCCTACCCACGTTGCCAGCTTTTGGAAAAGAGCAAATAGCTATAAATTTAAAAAACAAGAGCAGTCTCTCACAGGCTAGAGAAAGAGTCAAAAGATTCACACTCAAGGTCACAAAACAGTGAACCTTTTACTAGATATTAAAATTTAAAACCACACAGCTTAACAGTAATGTTAATTTTACCACTAGGTGGCAATGATACAGCTGAATTTCACTGACAAGGTTAATTTTAAAAATTGAGCAAACCCAGACAGAAATTCCAAGAAGCTTTTATACATATTTTCATGTTAGAAAAATGAAAAATTCTTTTATATACAATTTAATTTAGAGCAGAATGTATAACTATCTGATCCAATATGTATGTTAACTTCTGATGCTTTTTTTCCTCTGTGCACTGATGCAATTCATGCAATAATCTTTAAACAGTTCTAATCACAGAAGTCTTTTTTAAAAAAACTGGACATACAGCATGAAGATAACAGAATTAGGGAAAGCTAAAGTCTCTTTGAAGTCTTAGAATTCTAAGAAAGGCACTATAAAATGCAAAGTATTTCAATAAAAAAGTTAAACCTTTAAAAAAATGAGAGAACATTTTGTTTTTTAAGGGCCAAAGCATGAAATATGGTGACCCACGTTGCTTATAAATTACAAATTAAAACAATATTCATACATGTAAAGTCTTTTCAATGTGTTAAATAAACATTAAATTTATTAAGCAAATTTATCAAAATTCTCACTTAAATGGATTCTAGAAGAAAGAATACCTTTTTACAAGTGTCAAAAGAGTAAATGATTAAATTCCTTAAAATGTGGCACTTTCCATAATTATTTCTGCTTTCTTCATAAAACAAGTCTTTATTCATAGCTTGTTAAAAATAATAAAAAATTTTATTCATTTCTTTTTCTTTTCATATCAAATAAAAAGGAAAGGTCTGATAATCTTTTTCAAACGATAGACATTTCCAAGTACACAGTAAAAAAACATAAATTCCCAAGATTCTCCCCCACATATAAGGTGGGAGTTCATACCACCACATGTAACATTACAAAACCTATACTATAATTACATGAATAAATAACTACCCAATTCATAATATAAGACCCAATTAAAACTTATTTATTCCCTTTTCATAAATAACCTAAGGTTTCCCAAATTTTCAATTCACAGTTTTCTACAAATAGATCAGAATATATCTTTTATATATCAACTTTCAAATAGTTTCCTAATTTAGTAATTAATTCCTATACATTTACTTCATTCCAGAAAAATGTCGCCCTCTTGCCACCTAAACGTTTGTAAGAGAATAAAAGTATGATTTCTAAGTTATTTTATAATTCATAGATCAGTTTCCTCATTATTGGACTTCACTTTAAATTATTACGGATCACCCTGAAAACTAAAATATAGGTATTTCTCATTGTGTCAGTGTATACAGATACACAAAACACAACCATTTTAGATACCAGCACAAAGAAAGATTACTGTGGCAGCCCTCATAAACCAAACAACAGATTTCAGGAAAGTGCTCAATCTGTTCAGACGTCTATAATTTTTGTTAGAAGTTTTAGGGAATGCCACTGTAATAGAAGGGATAATTGCAGGTCTACATGTGTATAGGTAATCTGTATCTATACAGAATCAGCTTCCAGTTGTCTGCACAAATAAAGGAAGAGACACAGTATACCTAACACATAATCCTCGAGCCCCTTCAGATACATTTTTGTATCTGTATTTCATAGGACTGTGTCTGAGAATTGAGAACACAAAGAAAAGTAAGCCATACTGCAGAGATTAAGAGTTACAAACACAATTACCAAAACAATGGTAACAATGAAATGCCATTATTGACTTGAATTTGTCATCTTCTGTTTATTTCTGATGGTGGCTCGAAGTTTACGTATCACCAGTTTATCAGGCAGAATCATATCACCTTGTTGTTCTAGATAATCCAATAAATTTTCAGTCCATTGGAGAGCAGCTGCATGATTAATATGTTTCTCTGGAATCAGTTCTATTTCCTCCTCCTCATTTTCACTAGATTCATCTGTCTGGCCTTGTGCTCTTCTGATGATTTCGCTGTCAGTTAACACTTCATAACCTGGTTCGGTACTGTCCACTTCAAGCCATTTTTCAATGTTCTCAGTAGTCACATTTTCCAATCCTTTGGTATGTTGTAAAATTGTGGCCACAGTAGCCACAGAAACATCTTCTTCATCAAAGTCCAAGCCTTCTTTCTCCTCTATTGTAGGAAGAATCTTCTTCCATGCTCTGCTAATGGTAACTGGCTTTACTAAATTCCATGCCATTGCTATTTCATAAAGTGCATCTAGCAGAGTTAGCTTCTTCCAGAAGGATTTCAGGTCATTACCTTCTTCCAAGTTGTTCTGAAGAAGACCTGCACGATAATTTCTCTTCATTGTCGCTATGACTCCCTGATCTGAGGGCTGGATCAATGAAGCCACGTTAGGTGGTAAATACTTGGCAAATATTTGGCCATCATCTGACCTCAGGACATTTTCATTTGGATGAGTTGGTGAATTATCCAACAAGAGCACAGCCTTTTCCTGTAGGCCTTTAGATCTTAAGTACTCTCGAACTTGTGGCACAAAGATCTTATCAAACCACTGCCGGAAAATGGAGAGATCCATCCATGCACCTTTTTGGCTGAAGTAAGAGACTGGCAGGTTTGACGTGTCAGTTGACTTGAAAGAGCGAGGTTTCTTTGCTTTCCCCACAACGCAAAGTTTCAGTTTATGTAAACCTGTTGCATTGGCACAACACATGATAGTGACTCTTTCTTCAATTGACTTGTGCCCCGAGACAGTGCATTTACCTTTGACCACAGAAGTCCTGGAAGGTAGGCATTTCCAAAAGAGTCCAGTTTCATCTGCATTGTAGATTTGTTCAGGCTGTAAGTTCTCGCGTTCAATAAAGTCTCGGAAGTTGTTACAAAAATCTTCCACAGCAGTCTCATCTCCATTTAATCTTTCATTTCTAATGTTAATCTCTCTAATGCTGTGCCGCTGCTTAAAACGAGTTAACCAACCAGCAGAGGGGTTAAAATCACCATCCATACCCAAAGCATAAAAGAAGAACTCTGCCCTTTTCGCACAAATTGGTCCAGATATGGGATTCCCTTTTGCTCTTTGCTGGTTGAACCATTCCAGCATTGCTCTGTCCAGTTCCTCATACATAGATGGCTTCATAGATTTCCTCTTGGCAAGAAGACTTGTGGAATCAGAACTGCTTGCATAAGTTATAATCTTTTCCTTATTTTTTCTTATATCTCGAACTGTTGTCTCACCAATTCCATAAATCACTGCCAGTTGTTTGGAAGAACCTCCGTCTTCAAGTTTTTTTATTATATCAAGTTTATCTTTAATAGTTAACACCACCCGCTTCCGTTTCCCTGACATGCTGAGGCTCTAGGACTCGGGCCCTTGCCCCACACTCACACTGAAACAATCTGCAAAATCCTTCCTTCTTTTTCACACGGACCCACTTTATCAGTCTTACACACTCAGTCTTTCAACCTTACCAGGAACCTGGTGACCCTGACCCCGTCCCCGGACGGGCTTGGCCGGCAATGAAACGGCAGAGGAAGGTGAGAGGGGAGGAAGTTTGAAGGAACAGGCCTTTAACTTAGATGGGCAGTAGAGGAGGCCCCAAGTCACCGCGGATAATCCGGATTACAAACATTTGTTTTATTCCCCCAGTGGCCGCGATAAAGACTATAACTCCATCGTGACCACGAACCTCCTTCAAGCCCTGATCCAGGGTAAACGTCCGTCACTAGCCCCTGCCACACCCCAAAGTTACGGCAGAGAGCGGAAGAGCCACGGAGACGGGGACTAGCCCCCTTCCCCAAGGGAACGGTTACGTTTGATTTCTTCCCCAGCAGCCAACCCCTTCCACCGCAAGCCACACTTCCCCGCGCTGGGCTTGGCCTGGACAGTCCTCCCGGCCCCTCACAGCCCGCCGGGCCCCTCTCCCCACCTCAGTTGGAACCAGGACCCGCACCGATCCCTGACTAACGCGCGGCGACCGCTCCTCCCCCAGCACACGCTCCCGGAAGATGCCCCCTCCCGCCGTCGGCTCCGCCCTCTGCTCCTCCCAGAGGCGGGACTTCCCCTGGTCCCCGGAAGGAGGAGGAGCGTGGCTAGTCTGGAGTGGGTACCTGGGGCGGAGGCAAAGGCGGAGGCAGAGGCGGAGGAGCTTTGAAAGGTGAGGGCGCGGGGGCGGTGCAGGGCCAGCCTGGGGCGGGGACTCGCTCTCGCTCGGGCTGCTAATGATTTAGTAACTGAGCGGGGGAAGCCTGGCCTCCCCTCAGTCAGGGAAAAAAAATTCCTGCGGGCGCCGTCGGGGTGGGCGGGAAGACCACCTTCTGCGTCTTTCTGCACTCGTTGCTCCCTTTATGCTGAGCTGCAGTAGGCCGAGTGCCAGTTCCTTCCTTGGTGAGGAAGTGGGCGGGGCTGGTTGTGGGGAGTCGGGTGGTGGCTTCGCGGGTTTCTGGCCTTTTCAGACCCTTGTTGGGTTTCTGGGTGCGGAGCTCCTCTGTGGCCTGGGGGTTTGTGTCGTCCTACGCACGTCATCGTGAAGCTCGGCCTAAGGGTCCGCTTCCCCAGCGACCGTGCCCCTCTCTCCCCGAGGCAGAGTAGCGGACTGGCGGGCGTGCTGCGCTGGCTACCTGCGTCCCGCCAAAGAGCCAGGTTTGTAATCAGGAAAATGACTCTGGTGTTAACTCCCGCGAGGATCCTTCCTCTGCCACTCATCCCTGCTGGAGTTAGAGAACCACCTTCGGTGTTAAAGATTTTTAATGAATACTGTTGTTGCCCCGGATGCGAAGCTGGCAGGATGCACTCCGCGAAATTGTGGCGTATTGGTTCGTGATTCTAAGTGGAGGGAATTGGCTTTCTCTGTAATCTTTCCATTTTTCATTTCTGTCCTGTCGTGCTGCCCTGTTTTCTACCGAGGGAAGAACTGTGATAAATGCATCGACAGCAATGTGAAAAGAACTTAATCAGAATTATAACAATGTAGCCCTTAAATCGTGTATCATGCCGGCTTGTTCTGGTGTCCCCAGTAATTTCATCAGATTGTGAGCTCCGTGGAAGCAGAGACCGTGTCGATCCCTTGTAGTAGCGCCACAGCTCCGCGCTTGTGCTGGCATTCAATAACCATTTCTTGGGTCTCTTAAAGGTTTTCTCTCTAAACTGTCATATAAAAGGAAATATCAGAGAGGGGTGTTGTTTTACAAATAGAAATGCATCCTTTCTGGTGGAATTTCAAGTAATGGCTGGGGTTCCATTGCCCTTCAAACCTTAGAAATGTAAACTGTCACCTGATAGGGCAAGAAATTCCTAGAATGAGTCTTCTCTTCAGGGTAAGTTAACCTCAAAGCCCAGGCTACACGGTATTTCCTCTGATAAGAAATTCAAGTAGCATCATCAAGTACCTTTGAATTGTAGAATGGCTGTGTGAGAGACAGCGATATGGATTCTTGCCTTTATCTTTTTTGGCAGACTGCAAAGTTATGTGTATGCCTTTTTTTAAAATATATATATGCCTTTTATGTGATATTCACGATGAAGCACAAAGATGTGATTGTATTGATCTTCATTTATTTAATGCTTTCTGTTTGGAGTTTCTTTGTTTTTCTCTTTGCCTGAAGGTAAGGTATTGTTAAAAAAAAAAACTTGATTAAATTCTCATTTCAAGAAATTGAGTGTATACTCAGCATATAAAGAAATTACATCCATTGCATGGATTTTTTTTAATTCTAATGACTGAGATGTCTTATTCATAAATCTAGCCTCACCTTCTCATTTCTCTCCTCAGGTTCAATTCACTCACCCTTTCCCTCTTGTCATCATTCTTCCCTCCCCAGCTAACATTGTAAAAGTATTCACAATTTTAGAAGAGAAGCCAGGCATATATAAATTATATTCTTTTTCAGTGACAGCAATTTTGAAATATGAGGAGAGACCCTGGAAATTTGGCACTTTGTCAAATGAGCCTTGATTTATTTAAATAAAATTTACTTCTTCAAATATTCAGTACTGCAGTTTTCCAAAATAATATTTTTTTTCTCCTCAGAGACTGCCTTTTTTGAAATTTTTACTTTTGGATTCAATGGGGAATCCTTAAACTTTGTGATCAATGTCATCAGTAAGATGGTAGAGGGAAGTCTCAAATTTTCATTTCTTTTGCACATTCTTTTCTTGCCTATTGGATGGACAGTTTCCAGAAGTTTCTGGCCTAACTCAAGTGTACTAAAATTCTGTTACATAGTTTTTTTTAAAGCATGTTTGTAAACTCTAAACTATTTTGATGATTCTTCTTTGAAACTAAAATTTAGCATGAATGAGAGCTAAAATAATGATTTTTTAAAGACATGGTCTTTACTACCTTGTACAAATATAATATTGGCAGCAGTCATTGTGTAGCACTGGACGGGGAAATCAGGAGAACTGGTTTCTAATCCCAGCTCTGTCACTAACAAGCTGTGTGATCTTCGGTAAGTCATTTGAACTCTATGTCTTTGGCTTTGATATTTATAAATGAAGGTAGACAGCATCTTTCTTCTAGGATCATTGTCAGGATTTAAAAACATGAAAATGCACTGAAAAATTACTATATATATAGGATTTTTAAATAGCTTAACCATGCACAGTCATAGGTATTTTTATAGTGTCACAGTCTTAATCATTTCTACTATTGTCGTAGAAGTCACTTACTGATATGATAAATGTCTTTTGACATGGAATAGTTTTGTGAGATAATCATCTAGTGTACATGAACCTACTTTTGCATATTAATAAAATCGTCTTTCGTTTAATGTTCCTACTGTTCACACTTGATGTAGCGTATCTACTGAAGCCATATTTGTCATTTGTTTTCATAAATGTTTTCTCATTCTTTCTTCCAACTCAGATTTATTAGAAAGATTACAGTGTAATTTGCATGCACAGTTTATGCAAATTTATATGTGCTTTAAAAAATACTTATTTGTACCATATGGCTTCAAAATATAAGCTGCCCATTTATCTGGTGCTTAATTAAACAAACAAACACCTACAACAATAGTCTCTTTAAAACCTGGAGAAGAAACTGGATGGACCTCCTGTGACTCACTATGAGATATATAAGAAAACATAGCTTAAAGAGTAATAAAAAAGATTTTTAAGGTAATTTTGACTGCACACTATTCTCATCTTTGCTGATTTTAACATAAGCCTTCTGTAATATGCAACCCAAGTGTAATTTCAACTAACAGAATACTTTGTCTGTTGACTAGAGTTTGTTAAGATTGCTGTTACAATGTCCAATGTATCTTGTAGCGGTTACTATCATAAGATCACATTTCAGCCTACACTATAAAGATAATTTCTGGTGCATAGGCTTAGCAACCAATATTCTGATTTTATATGAGATATTACCATTATAGTAAATGTCACATTGCCTTTAAACATAACAATTTGTATAGTCAAATGAGTGGTATTTCCCCCACTTACACCCCTACCCATCCAAAAAAAGGAATCATCTTGGAAAGGTATAAACTTGATTTAGTGATCTTGCCATTGCTCAAACAATTTTGGCATTCTGTTTCTGAATTTATCTTCAAAGTTACAGCATATTTAAAAAATATCTGTAATGGTAATATTCAACTTTTGAAGTTGGATTTCATTTTTGGAAGCTGCTAACAGTCCCTTAAAATTGAGACAAATCAATAAAATGGGTATTTAAACCACTCTTTGGGATAAAAGATGGAGCGTGGTTATTTTCATATTTTTATGTATTTTTTGATACTATGTTTTGTAGAAAATCTCCAAGAATATTCTATGCCATAGTGTAGATATTGGAATAATTAGCCTCATAAGATGATTTCTTTGGAGATAACACTCAATAGAGTACATAGGTTCTTAAACATGTATTATGAGGTCAGTCTCATTACATTGTGATCATATGTGTATTTTTCTTAGCAACTACAAAAGTACATGTGTTAACTGTTTTTCTAGTTACATTACTTATCTCTAATTGTTCCTTTATTATATACTTGTAGCAATTTTAGTGTTCACCCTTTTCTGAATCAGAAACTTACAGTATTTATTTTCTGTCCCAATACCTTGCTCTGCTTCACCATGAAACTTTTTTTTCACCCAATTTTGGATTGTTAATCAGTTTCTTTAAGTGGTTTAAAGCCATTGCTGTTTTATTGAAGTGTAAATGGATAGGTGACCTCTTAGTTTTGCACTGCTGTTGTTTGTCAGCTACTACTTTATAACTTTATTCATATAAATTTTTGATCCTTTATAATATAATTCATATCATTTCTGTTTAGAATCTTTTGCCTAAGGATGAATGATTCTGGTAACCCCACCCTATTGTTCTATAATTGTCTTTCTTTCCAGCATAAAACCTTTCTTCATACCTATTCAGTTGCACTTAGTTAACATACCGTGTTCTCTCTCAGTGCCAAAGTTTTGACCTTACTATTTTTACCTGCCTGAAATCCCTTCTTTTTGTTGAAATATAACCAGTCCTTCAGAAGTCTATCAGGTCATACCTGTTGAATTAAATCTTCAGTGAAGCATTTGCTGTACTGTTCTTCCTGCATCTTTATGATTTTATTGCAGTTATTTTTGTCTTTCATTTGGTATTAAATGAATGCCTTGCATTTTTCTTAATATATGTTTGTATGTTCTACCCATGGATGATAATCTTCCTGAGAACAGGACCACAATTTTTCTATGTATCCCTTTCAACACAAAATATAATTCACAATTGATGTTCATTATAGTTTTTCCATAGATGTTCAATAAATTATTTCCTGGATAACTGTTCTACCATCTTCACTCAGATATTTTATGTGATTTGTGAACCATTTTATAACACCAAATAAATATAGTTTACCATAAATGCATTCATTGTTGTGATCTGGTTATCATTACTATGTTCCTAATAACTTTATTTTGTAGAAGCTTAAGTGAAAATGGTACATGTTAGAAGACACGAAACAAGGAAAAATTCTAAAACTCAAGAGCGTGAGCAGAAATCTCGAGTTGACTGGAGGCGGACTAAAAGAAGTAGTATTTCACAGTTATTTGATAGTGACGAAGAGCTTGACAGTGATGAAGAGCTTGATAGTGACGAAGAGCTTGACAGCGATGAAGAGCTTGACAGTGAGGAAGAGATTGACAGTGAGGAAGAGCATGACAATAACAAGGGGTTTGATAGTAATAAAAAGCTGGAAAATGAAAGAAAACTTAGATTAATTACAGTTGAAAGTGAAGGTAGTAACCATGAGCATATCATGAACACTGGCAACAGTTCAACGTATGAAGAAGAAAATAACAAAAACAAACTTAGAAGTACTGACTCACCAAATCATGAAAAGCTTTCCAGTCAAGAAGATGATGATCTGAACAAACGCACTGGACAGATAATAGAGGAGGATTTGGAAGAAGAGCACATCCAGCGAGGGAAGAGAAAAAGGGTCTCCTCTGTTATGTATGACAGTGATGAGAGTGATGGCAGTGATATCCTAGTGCGAAAAGTAGGCGTTAAACGTCCACGTAGAGTGGTTGAAGACGAATGTTCGTCAGTAGAGATGGAGCCAAAAAACCCTGAAAAAACTTTAAGTACAAGAAAGCGAGAACAATTCCAGAAACTGAAAGAACTCTCAAAACAAAGATCTCGCCAGAGACGCAATAGTAGTAGAGATTTTGAGGTGTGTTATATTTTATTGGTTTTGTTACTGTTTTAAAATCTTTTCCTTAAAGTATTTAATTTTTATAAAAAAGTGCTGAGTCTGTTCTATTTCTCAATTCTTGAATTTATTATTTAATCAAGTATCCTTGAACATGTTTGCACTGTTGTATCAAATATAATTTGCTTTATCATGAGCCTCAGTTCATCACTCTGTTTTAAAATTGAAAGACTGTTTAAATATGGTCTTTCCTCTTTTTAACTCCTACTTATAATCTTAATGTCTATTTTAAACATTTGACATCATTTACCAAGGCATATTATCTTCTTCCTAATTCAAAAGTTCAACATTTAACATAACAAGATTTTTTTAACCTTAAAATATGAAATAAATTTCCATGGATCATTGGTTTCAGATTTAATCTTTTAATTTTGTATCCATACTGACAATTTAAAAGTACAAACTTACTGAAAGATATGTTCTAATTTAATTAGGACTCTCAGAAGGAATCCTGTCCAAGCAGTGATGAAAGTGATGATGATGAGGAGGAAGATGATTATGAATATGATGAAGATGGTGATGATTATATTATTGATGACTTTGTAGTTCAAGATGAGGAGGGTGATGAAGAGAATAAAAGCCAGCGAGGAGAAAAATTGACTACATCACAACTGAAATTAGTAAAACAGAATTCTCTTTGTAAGTTAAATATCAAGAAAATATTTTATGACTTGCTCTAATCATGCTATTATATCAAGTATCAAATTAGCCTCTTACTATCATGTTCTAAGTCATTGATTAGGAACTCTGGTTTTAGTTTTAGGTAACTTTGTCCCTCTGATAACAGTTTATTCTAGTAGTTTCAGGAATACATTCTTAAAAATTATTGAGGACCCTGAAGAGCTTTTGTTTCTGTGGGTTATAGTTATCAGCATTTACCACTGTAGAAATATGAAACAGAGAAATGTAAAATATATTTATTAATTAATAGACTTTAATAAGTTTGTTACATGTTAACGTAAGTAACACTTTTTTAAATTTTATTTTTGAGAGAGAGAGAGACAGTGTAAGCAGGGAGGGGCAGAGAGAGAGGCAGACAGAATCAGAAGCAGGCTACAGGCTCCAAGCTGTCAGCACGGAGCCTAATGTGCTGCTCAAACCCATGAACCACAAGAACATGACATGAGCATGACACTTAACAACTGAGCCACCTAGCACCCCAACAGAAATAACAATTTTATTAAAAATAACTATTTTCAAAAAAATACAAATGGTATTGTTTTACATTTTAATACATGTATTTAATATTTAGCTTAATAGAAGGCAGCCAGGTTCTTATTCCTGCTTTTGCATTCAGTGTATTTTGATGTTTTGATTGAAGTAAATGAAAACAGTAATGCTTCACACAGATAGGTAGCTGGAAAAGGGAGAAATATTTTAAAAGTGTTTTCAAAATAATGTGGATATTCTTATTTGTCACTACACAATTAAACAAGTGATTGTTTCTTAAAGGTTAGTTGCAATATGGAATCTGAAACCATATAAGCGAATCTTTAGTACTCACTTACATTGCAGTCCACTAGTCTGTTTTGCAGTTTGAATGACTCTTTTATCCATATGTGATTTTGTAACATCATGCATTAGTCACTTGGAAAATATTGATTCATTGCATTATGTAGATCTTCCAAATGTTGACACATTTCATATTATAATATTTTTGAAATCACATTTGTTAATATTACCGCCAATCTCATCAGAAACTTTTTTAGGTATGGGGAAGCTGTCAAGCTCACAGCAGTAGCAGATATAAGTTTTCTAAAATTCTAATTTCTATAAAAATCTGTTTCCTAAATCTTTGGCAGCAAATACTGTGAGTTCTTGAAATTACAGATTTCCTCTTTCATTTTTGAGAAAATACTTAACAAATGCCTGAATATCCATTGTTTGTCATTTGTTCATTCGTTTCCTTTCTTTCTTCCTTCCTTTGTTCCCTTCTTTCTTTTTATTCTTATTTTTTATGTAAACTCTAGGCCCATCATGGGGCTTGAACTCACAACCCTCAGATCCAGAATTGCATGCTCCACTGACTGAACCAGCCAGGCATCCATCAGTTGCTTTTTCAAGTAAACATGGTGTTTCATGACAAATGAGGGGTTTTCAGCTTCCAACTCCATTGTTCCTCAAAATATGATCAATCATATGCTGTGGTATGCAGCATAGGTGCTCCATGCATACTTCCATTTCATCCCATTGAATACTCAAAAGATGTATATTTGAGACTTAATAAAATTCATAGTTTTTACTACTTCATCAAGGACTTTCTTAAGTAAAAGTAGCTTTTTACTGAGGGTATAGCAGTGAATCCTACAGTGATTATTTGTGGTTTGGTCGGACTGCCGTCATTCTTGTTAGGGAGCCAGCTGCTTTACCCATAGTTACTTTTTGTACCATCAGTGAAAATGTCAACATGGTAAAAACAGCAAGATTATCTTAGTGTTATTGTTTTGACCTGATAGATCCTCTTGAATGGACTTGAGGACTTCAGGTGTCTACCACACTTTGAGAACCATAGGTTTTTATCAGGCCTATTGAAGTATCAGTGAAACTTTGATAAGAGATTGGAAATTAGGATTCTTTTTATACAGTTAATTAAAACATAAATAATAGGACCCTGACAAATTAGCGTATCTTTAAATATGTATTTTTCTAGTTCCTATAATTGTGCATAAATCCAAAGATTGTTTTTATGATGTTTTACAACTCTGGTAGAAACAGGCTGTTGACTGAATACATTTTTTATTTTTTTCTTCAAGAGTGCATTCTTTCCAATTTCTTATAAATGGGCATATTTACTAAAATTATATGTAATGTGATTCAATATCAATCTCATGATTTATAATAAAATAGTAGATTGAGGCATGAATCAAATTTCAAGAAATGTATCAGTTATAGAGAGGCCAGTGATAGGCATCTCTATTTTGAAAGTCAATGACTATTTTCCTTACATCAGTAGTCATTTGGTTACTTGCCAGTTGGACACTGAAAGTTTAGGGAAACTCAATTAGCAGATAACCCATCATTCTGGATTATAATATCTAGAATGTGATAGAATACTTGTTCAGTGATACCCTCTCATAGCTACTCCTGCTAATTAATAAAACTCAAAGTCCAGCAGAGGGCAACTATTTTTAACATCCTTCTCAATCCTACATGTCTGTGCTTGTTTTTTTAAGGGACAGTTTTAGATTTACTGAAGACAAGAAACTACAGAGAGTTCTTTTATAACCCCTCTCACACACAGATTCCCTATAATTAACATCTTGCATTCGTTTGGTACATATAGTAAAATTGATGAGCTAATATTGATATGCTATTATTAACTGCAGTTCATAGTTCATCTCAGGGCTCACTCTGTGTTGTACGTTCTATGGGTTTTGACAAATATAAAATGATGCAACAGGTATTTGTTATTTCAGTATCATACAGAATAGTTGTGCTGTCCTCAAAATCTCCTGTGCCCTACCTATTCATTTCTCCCATCTCCCCTGAGCCCCTGGCAACCACTTATCCTTTTAATGCTTTCATAATTTTGCCTTTGCTAGAATGTTTTATTGTTGGAATACACAGCATGTAGTGTTTTCAGATTGAATTTATTCACTTAATAATATGCATTTAAGTTTCCTCCATGTCTTAATGTGACATGATAGGTTATTTCTTTTTATCACTGAATACTATTCCATTGTATGGATATACCACAATTGTTTATCTATTCACCTGCTGAAGGAAGGTGAATAGATAACCTTCCAACATGTTGGTTGCTTCCAAGTTTTGGCAATTATGAATAAAGCTGCTGTAAATATTTGTGTGCAGATTTTTCTATAGATGTAAATTTTCAACTCATTTGGATAAATATCAAGGAATTCTGTGCTTGCTTTTACTACTGAGCATCATTACCTTAGAGAGATGAATCTCATTTTTTATGCAATACATTTTATGTGTGTGTTAGTTGCAATTCTGGCTTTATTGTTACAAGTTGTCTTTTCTCAGCTTATAACCATATTCATGCCTTTCCTCCCTTGAGTTGGTATGTTTCATTAACTACTATTCTAAATTTTATCCTTTATTCAAGTTTCCCATTAACTCTACTCCATCAGTCCAGTGAAATTGCTCTCAGTAGTGATTACTTTCTAGTTGCCAAAATGTTTTTCAGTTTTTTTGTTAACCTGGTATTGTTATGTGCTTTGCCACCATCAGTTGACCACCCTCCTTTTCAAAAAGTTCTCTTTTTAGCGTGTAGTGTTGTCTTCCCTTGTCTTGTCTTCTTTTTATAATATTGCTTTCTTCTTTTTCTACTTGCCACATAAATATTGATGTGTCCAAAGGTCATCCTCAAATTCTCTTGTTTCTGTATTGGCAGTCTCTTTCCCATAACTTTTGCCTAATATATAAGCAAAAATTCCAAAACTTTTATTCCCAGCACAGATTTCTCCAAAGCCTGAGACATACTTTTCATTTTCTTATTGACCATTTTTACCAGTGTCTTTCAGACACCTCAGATTCAATCAATCTGTGTAAAACTAAATTATTGAGTGGTAACATTATGGAGTTTTGGGGTGGTGTAGAACTTATTATTTTTTGGTTGTTGTGGAGGTTACACAACTTTATGCACCTGTGATAGAACTGTACACCAAAAAGAGTGAACCTTATGGTAAACAAAAAATAAAGAGAACCAAGTAGGTATTCCCACTTCCAAAAAATAACCTCAATGGTTAATCCACCTCACTTCTCTTTGCATTTCTCATACCCATTTAAGTTGATGATACATTATAGGAACTTATTGTTAGTTCAGTGGATGGTTGGTTAAGATAAGTATATTGGCTGAAGGCTCCTGGGTCTATACTTCAAGACAGAGAAATATAATTTAAAACATTAGAGGGGGGAAAACCCATATATTTTAGAGTGATAATTTATGACTTGTTTTTAATACTTATAAATGTTTATGCCATTTATGAATATAATAAAAAATATAGGCAGTTTTCAAGTTATCAAGGAATTATGTTCTAGAGTTGCTGTAGGTGGATTCTTACACTTTAAAAATATATTTTCTCATTAAAGTAATAACCTATACGATGAATAATCAACACTACTCTATGGCCTCAGACTATAATTAGTCTAGTATTACCAAATTCATTCTCCTCCCAGCCTCTATAAGAACACTGAACACTACTCATAGTCAACATATCACAATTTGGGAGAAACATTTTCTAATTCCAAATTCAATACTCAAGTGAGAATCACAATCAGTGGCCAATGCAATTTTAGATTTTTGAAGAGAACAGTTATATCTAGAGGAAGACATTTGTCACTTCCTCATCTGCCATTTGGCTCGGAGAGATGTATCTGTAACATCTCAAAATAGAAAAGTTTCCTCTCCTGCTCATGGTTGAAGCTGTTGAAGACAGTCATAGTCTTTTTTCCTTCTTGTAAATCCCTGTACTTCTCTAAATTTATTTTGAGACTGCAGCTCCCGGAAGAGATATTATAAAAAGTAGAGGGAAAGACTGGCAATGGCCCATTGTATTCCAGACCTAGAATGTTCACACACTAAGAAAGTTATACACAGAGAGAAAGGAATAACCTTCAGATTTGTGGATTCTGACGATTATATTATTTTTCCAGTCTATCCCATGTTCGGAGTGACAGAGAACAAAGTATAGACAGAAGAGTACATCTCAGTCTACTAGTGCCTTGCTAGATAAATACTTGCTAGACTACTGGAAATTAGATTAAAAATGAACATTAACTTAGTCTCCACCTAGAAATTAAAGAGAATAATTCTATCAACATAATGCAGAGTTTGCCTGAGAACAGTCTTGCAGGCATTTACATTAAGTATTAAATCCTAGATCTTGCCTTTTTTTTTGTAGAATGAGTAAAAAGTACCAGTGAAATCATATTGTAGCACAAGGGAAAGGTAACATTGCCCATGTAAAGAGTTGGAGGAAGAAAACGTCTGTGAAAAATATTTCAAATATTTCATTAAAGGAAACAGAAGAAAATTGTATCAAGCATTGCTTTGCCCTCTGTGAAAAACAAATAGGAACTTATAGAGAGAACAATTCGAGATGAAACAGAGCAAGCTAAGGATAAGTTGCCAGAAAATTAGAAATATAAAGTCATAAGTAACATCCATATTGAAAGATGTAAAAAACAGAATTAACAGTACAGAAAAGTCTCACCAATGGTATATAGGTTAAGCCCAAGAAGTTCTTCTAGTATAGAGAAATGAAAACAATTCTGAGGGAGAAGATAATACATAAAGAAATAGAAATATTTCACAACTTTCTGGGGGAAAAGTACAGAATACATGGAAACCTAAAGGAAGAAAATTCTATAGCTTTAGTTGGATATATAAAAGAAGATTTGAATGTGCTAAGAGATATAGCATGTTTTTGGATGGAAGGGACATATGGAAATGTGAATTCAAAGGTGTGATAGGAGAAAATACAGTTGTGTTGCTGGACACACCCATTTATGCAAATCAATGAGGCTCACATCCTAATAAGTTGATAAAAATAGATATGCAAATAGACATATGAAGGAAATAACTTTTCTAATTATAAGAATGATTTGCAAATAGACATATGAAGGAAATAACTTTTCTAATTATAAGAATAAATAAAAGTTACTTAGCCATCCTTTTAGGACCCTAAAAATGGTTTAATATATTAATTGGTTTCATTCATATGTCAAAAGAGAAAAAATCATTAATTAATCTTAATTTTAATAGATTCTAGAAAGCATTTCATAAAATTCAAGCCATTATCTAGTTTAAAAACAAAATAACAAGACTCAAAAAAAATAGTAATATTAGCATATGTCCTTTACACAACAAAGAATATTTAATACTTAGAGAATATATATTTATAATGAAGCACTAGAGATACTCTTTAAAGAACAAAACAAAAATGTCCTACTTTCTTCTAGGTGTTTTGAACAATGTAATAAGACAAAGTAAAAGAAATAAAACTTTTGAAAAGGAAAAGGCATTATTTGAACATAATATGATTTTATATATACATACACACAAGCTGTAAGTTTCTGACTTATTTAACCAGAGATATAAAAGTTAAGAGAAAAGATATGAATGCATTGAGAGCAGGAGTTGTAGATATAGCATATATTTCCATAGTTTTCTTGTGTTCTTTTTTGCCTACTGAGGGGGACCTGTTGGAGTAGGAAAAGAACCCAATTTCTTGCTGTTATTCTGCTTTCTTACGGTAGGCTTATGCTTCCATTTTAGAAGAAAGTACACCAACAATCTATATGCTTCCACCTAAGAGAATATTTATAAACATTCTCTTGTTTCTTGAAATAAGCTTAGCACTAGCAAGACCATATCCTTCTCAGAGTTAGGGGAGAAAGCAGAGTCACTGACCAGAAATTCCTGAACAGTATCTTTCTCTTTCCAGCTCTCTGATGTGCCATTAAGCTCATTTTCCACAAATATCTAAGAGAGTCTATTGGGAATTTGCAAAAGATCTCAGAAAGATGACCGGATTCACAATAAATACATAAAACTCAGTAATTTTCTTGTATGCTGTCAATAATTATTTGGAAGATATTATAATGAGGGACAATTCCATTTATAGTAGCAATCAAAATAAAGTTCCTATGCCTATTTTAAGAAGAAAAGCATGACTTTATAGGTCATGAATAGCAAAGAAATAGCAAAGAAAACATGAATGAAAGGAGAGACACACCATGTTTCTGGAAAGCAATTAATAGTACAAGAAATTATTTCTTCTGAAATTAACTTTTTGATTTAACTTTGCAAAACAGTGCTAAAATTCATATATGAGAATAAATAAAATTAGACAACAAACAGAAAATTAGAAGGACTTCCTCCATCAGATATAAAAAGTTATCATAAAATTTCAGTAAGTAAAGCAGTGTGGTACTGGCATACGAGTGACAGCCAGATCATTAAGAAAGGTACACGGTCCTGAAACAAAATCTTAGCATATATGTGAAATTAATATATGATAAAGGATGCATGGAAAATCAACAGAATGACTAGCTTATCCTACGATTGAGTATAGGAAAATTAACTACCCCAAGATTAACTACCTTGGAAAACTCAAGTTATGTATAAACACAAATACTGTTGGTTCTCTCCTGTATCCTTTCGTAGTTTTTTTAAAATCATGGAAGAAAAATTTAAATGATATCCCTAGGATATTCCACAGAAGCTCATCCAATATAAGGATTAAAGCACTGGGGGAAAAAAAACAACTATAGAGGAGGTCTGAGCTCTAATCCTGAGTCTTCTGTATCTAGTTTTGTTATCTTGGGTATGTTATTTCATCATTGTGTCATTTTTAAAATTTTTAAATGAGAGACTTGAATTATTTCCTCCAATTTCCCATCCAAATCTAAAATCCTGTGTTCTGAACCATAATATTATCAAACCTAACTACCGTGCAGAACAACATCTACCTAGCGGATAGTAGGATGAGATCTAGAGTCAGACTGCTTGAGTTCCAGCCCTGGTTCCAACACTCACTGGCTGTGTGATTTTAGGGAAATTTTTCATCATCTTTGTATTTATTTCCTTAACCAAAAATAAACCAAGGGTACTGATAGTACCTCATAGGCTTGTATTGAGAAATAAAGCAATGCGTGTAAGTGCATAGAACGATGCCTGCCATTTACTTGCTCAATAAAATCTTTTTTCCAATCTGAGATGCCAGCAGCATAATTCCTCCACTGCCCATCCATTCACTCAAACACAATGAAATTGAGGCCTTCCTGACTCTCTTGAAGGAGATTCTGATGTCCATTGGTAGAACACTTGAGGTGACTCTGATCCTCTAACCTTTCCTTTTACTCCCAATTCTGAAGAAACACCATCAGGGTCTTTAAAATAGAACAGCAGTTTCCAAACTCTGCAGCAACTAACGTTAGGCATTAGTATGTTTGAAGATTGATAAATTCAGGGCGATAAAAAATTCTATTTCAATTTATTTGATAGTTCGACTTAAGGGCACAGGGAATGAATTTGATGTTTCTTTCCTCAACATGTCTGTTAATATTCCCAGAACATTTTTCTCATTAATAGAGTTTGAGAAGTTCTAGAGTTTAAATGCATTTTAACACAAATTAAATTATGTACCAGCAGTATATTATATCTAGAGGTTGATGAAAGTCTAGACAAAATTGAATGCTATTAAAGAATTATTTCACTTTACCATTGTGTTTTACTGATATTTAAAAAAGTATTCATAAATAGTTGTGATCAGTTCTTTTGTAATTTGCAACTGATTACAGGCCCTCTAAAGTCTAAGGGTCCTGGTGTAAATTATCTGCTATAGTCATTTAATTTTATTACTGCTTTATTTTTACCACTTTTGTACTATAATAGCATGTTTTATTTAAAAAATGTTTAATGTTTATTTATTTTTGAAAGAGAGAGACAGGGCAAGCAGGGGAGGGGCAGAGAGAGAGGGAGACACAGAATCCAAAGCAGGACCCAGGCTCTGAGCTGTCAGCACAGAGCCGGATGCTGGGCTTGAACTCAAGAACCATGAGATCATGACCTGAGCTGAGGTAGGATGCTTAACCAACTAAGCCACCTAGGTGCCCATAACATGTTTTCTTAAAAAATAATGTATACTAAATATTTTTCCTGAAGTCCAGAAAAAGAGTTATACAGCCCTTTCACTAGCTAAAATATGTTAAAAAGTTTCTCCATGTTAAATCTCATTTTTATTTCATTTCAACTGAAAGCAAGTCAAAATTCAGTCATGAATGTTAATATAGGTCTTCTTTTGCTTAAATTTATAATCAGACATCTTCCAGTACCTTTAGTATTTTCCTAAAATACTCAGACTGCCCCTAATATTCTTTAGAGGTGCCCAGCACAAATGTTATATGTTGACCATTTGGATCATGGAAGGGGTTATGTTTGATAGAAAATATTTCTACAGCCATAGTTAACCTGGACCCTAAAGCATTGGGAAATATAAGGACCTTCTCTCATTGCCTGACCCATCACAATGAAGTGATTTCATGGAGCAAACTGGGTTAGTGGGAAGGTAGGCTTATATATTTGGTAGGAGAAAGAGAAGAGAGAACTTTTCTAAATTGATGTGGAAGGGTCTAAATCTGGGACAGGGAAAGGGAAAGAGTTTTTATAGCCATTGGAGTTCTGGCTAGGGTAATAATTTCCTGGACGATTTCATGTGTAGCATATTTTAAAGAGAAGTAAAGTTAGGAGTTGCAGGTTTATATTGAACAATCTACCTATAGAAGTTTTCTTTCTTGCTTTCTTACTCTAATTGTTAAGTTGATAATTAAATTTAGCTGCACAGAGGATGATGTGGGGCCTTTTTCATAGAATATCTCTTAATATTTTCTGAACAGTTTTCTTTTAATACGTTTGGAAACTGAGGATTATTTCAAATAACAACTTGAAATTTTGGATTAGAGGCCAGTAAGTCGGAAAATGGAGATTTGCTCAGTGACTAGACAAGTCACCGAGGCAGCTGTAAAATTAGGATGACTAAGTGATTTTTCCTATTTATAGTATTAATTTCTTAGAGAAAGGAAACTGTTTTATTCAGGGACTTGTTTTATCTGTTATATTCTAATATGTATTTTAAATTAATTTCAGATTCTTTTAGTGACCACTATACTCACTTTGAAAGAGTTGTGAAGGCTCTTCTGATCAATGCTTTAGATGAATCTTTTCTGGGAACATTGTATGGTAAGTTAATATGAATGGAACAATTAGCAATTTTTTCCGTTTCCAATTTGTAAAACCCTACTAATATAATATAATATAACATAATATAATGTAATGTAATATAATATAATATGTAAAAATTTAAGCAAAACCAAGAGGCCCTCCAATTGTTCCCTCTGGGATCATCTAACTACACCAGAAGCCCATTCACTTCAAAAACTTGCTACTGTCTATTATTTGTGAAATGTGGAAAGTGAAAAAGAAATATGTGATGTTTCCCTGCCCTTACAGAGTTCACAGTGAATGTGAGGATATGAGACATAGACTCAAAACAGTAGAGTAGTTCAACACCTATGTGTTGTCCCAGCCTCTCTAAACTTGAATGTCACTAAAAGTTACATGCTGTTTTATGCTTCTGTGCCTTTGTTCATACTGTTCTCTCTTAAAATACAATCTGTTTCTACCCTACACTTTCCAGGTGAGTGTAAAACCATCTTCACTCCCTCACTTGTGCTATCAGTGTCCTGGTGGTGCTGATGTTTATATACTTTTCATACTGTATTGAAAATGTATTTTTGCCTTCCTCCCTTCTAAGAGTATAAGAAAAACCATACCTTAGATATACACTTATCCCTTGCATCTAACACATAATCTGGCAGTTAATAAAGACTATAATATGTTGTTTTGAATATCTACCTAATTGCCAAAGTGACATTTCATTCATGGTATATTGAACAAATATTTATGGAGTGCCTAAGGGGCAGGCATTTATTTGAGGGCTGGGGATATAGCAATGACTATGACATATAAGATTTCTGCCCTCATGTTGCTTAACATCTAATGGGAGAGACAGACAATAGAATGAGTAAATAAATATATAACATAATTTCAACTAGTGATTAGTTCTTGAAAAAAACATAAAGTGGGTTAAGGAGATCAAGTGATGAAAAAAAGGAAAGTATCTATTAGATTGGTCAAAAAAAGTCTCTCAAGAGATTCCTTTTTTTTTTTTTTTTGAGAGAGAGAGAGGGCGGGCACGAGAGAGAGAGAGAGAAGCAGGGCTCACCCAAAGTGGGGTTTGAACTCACCTGATGTGGGCCTCATACTCACAAACCGTTGATATCATGACCTGAGCAGAAATCAGATGCTTAACAACTGAGCCACCTATGTGCCCTAAGAGGGGACTTTTAAGCAGAAACCTGAATGAAGTCAGGGGGGAAATAATGCATAGATCTAGCTGAAAGCACACCCCATACAAAGATCCTTAGGTAAGATTAATTTTCATGTGATAGATAAATGGACAAAGAAGTAATGAATATAGCCAATGGAATATTACCCAGCCATAAAAAAGAATGAAATTCTGCCATTTGGAACAACATGGATGGACCTAGAAGGTATAATGATAAGTGAATTAAGTCAACTAGAAAAAGACAAATACCACATGACCTCACTTATATGTAGGGTTTAAGAAACAAAACAAAGGAACAAATTAAAAAAGAGACAAACAAAAACCACTCTTAACTGTATAGAACAAGATGGTGGTTATCGGAGGGGAGGTAGGTGGGGGGGTGGATAAAATAGGCAATGAGGATTAAGAGTACATTTATCATGATGAGCACTGAGTAATGTATGGCACTGTTGAGTCACTATGATGTACATCTGAACCTAATAAAACATTGTATGTTGATTTTACTGGGATTAAAATAAAAAAGAGTAAGTCTGATGTATTCAAGGAATAATTAGAAGGCCTCTGTGGTTCTTTCCTTTCCTTAATGTTCTGATGGAATTGTTTTTTTTTCTTCATTAATCTTTTTTAAATTTAAAATACCATTCTAAAACTATGGGAAGAAATCCTTAAGTATTCATTTATTTAAATATTTCCTAATAAGGTTTCTCAGCTTTGGCACTATTGGTAATTGGAGCTGGATAATTCATCGGTGTGAGGGCTTAAAAAAGATAGATAGATAGATAGATAGATAGATAGATAGGTAGATAGGTAGATAGATAGATAATTTCCTAAGGGCTAAGTGATTATTTCTTGTTGTTATTGCTGTTCTCCTGAACAGATGGCACCAGACAAAAATCATATGCACAAGATATGTTGACATCTCTTCATTATTTGGATAACCGCTTTGTTCAGCCTCGTCTAGAGAGTTTAGCTTCTAGAAGTCGCTGGAAAGAGCTATATAAGGTATATAATTTTTTATTTGTTTTTGAATCTCTGGTTGGTGGTATGGGAGTAGGAGGCCTACTGGGATTTAAATACCCAGTCAGAATGAATAATCTTCTAAATTACTGGCATTTTTGTTGAATAATCAGCTTGCCACCTCTTTTAAAGGCTATTGTTGTTTTAATTATTGTAACACTTATTATATGTATCCAGTAATTAAGTAGTTCTAAATGATGAATAACTTTAGAACATCTCTAGGTCTTAGTCAGTCTATTAAAATGAGGAGGTTATCTTGCAGGATGTTAATTGTTGTTTCAGAAAAGAGAGTTCCATTGTTACGAGAAACAGTGGGTTTAACTTAAACTTAACTGGAGAACTTTCCAAGGAGCATTAATGTGAGAATTTATACTGTAAATCTTCAAGACGTTGACGTAGAATGTAATACTTTCCAAATTTGTGTTTTACTATGAGACTCCTTTCCATGAGCTACCTATTATCACCTCCGAGAATAACTGATTTAAATAACATAATTTGGGAAACACTGGCCTAGGGTGCCTTAATCCTTCTCCACCTTAAGATTTTGTATTTCTACCAATTTAAGGGAAGCATCCTTTTAATGTATAAGATTTATTGCATTTCATGTTATCCCATAGCTTTCTATTTTATGATCTCTAATAGTAGAGGCTGTCTTATATGATTTTTAACTTTTTTAAAATCTCCCTACTTCTAACATTCTATCTTCCAGTTTTAGGAAGATAAAAGAATGGCAAGATAAGAGAAATCCAAATTCCTATCAGTCCTTTTAGAACTTAAATCACTGGCTACTCTACCTCATTTATGTCAGGAGATTTGACTGCATCCAATGCCTGTTCAGTCTTGAATTACTGATAAATTAGCCACAGATGGTTTAGGTTTAAGGGACAGTTATGGGATTACAGAAAGAGAAGACTTCAGTTTGGAGGATGGCTGAGTTGAGGGCCACCATATATATCTTTTTAACTTTGGGTGAGTTTTTAACCTCTCTAAACTCTACTCTCTTCCTCAGATACAGAAAATATTTACCTACTTTAAAAGGAATATTTACTTACTTGGTAGGTAAAATACATAGCACAGTTCTTAGAACATGGTATAAATATTGTTTTCTTTAATAGAAAAATAGCATATTATTTATTGATTGTTTAACTTGGCCAAGTAATTTGCATGCAGTGTAAAGTATCTTATTTGATCTTCAGAGTAACCCCATGAGGAAGGCGCTATTATTTCCTCCATTTTAAAGAGAAAACTATGACTCAGAAAGATTGAGTAACACAAGGTTACATCGCTAGTAATTAGCTAGGCCACTGTTCCAACCTAGAAATCATAGCTTTCTAGAATTTCTCTGACTTGAAAGCCCATACCACTATGCTGTATTATGCTTTACTGTACTATGGTATGTTATGCTGAATTTGAATAACTTGATGTTGAAATAATAACTCTAAGATACAGGAAAACGTTAACTTAAAAATTTAGAGACATAGATGATTTAGTATGGTCTTGGTCAAAATTAGCTAAGTCATGCTGCAAAAAATAAATAGTATGACAGACCAGCAATGAAAATCTTAATAGCTTAACCCAGCAAACTTTATTTTTCAGTTATATGTCCTGTGTAAATCAACAGTAGTGTTCCTACATATTGTAGTTACTCACAGAGCCAAGCTCATAGAGCTCTCATCTCACATGTGCTTCAGCATGGACCACAGAAGCAAGAAGGGAAGGTGGCTGGCCACCTATTCACTCTGAATGTCAGCCTGTAAGTGACACGTGTCACAAAGGGCCATGAAATATGAGAAATATTAAAAGTAAACAAAATGCAATGTTGTTGTGAATCATACAGTGTTAAAAAAGGAAACTGTTAATGTACTGGATATTTAATTACTCTCAGGCTGATAGAGGAATATGAATGTGGGTTACTAACCCTGTATGTGGGTTAGTAACTACACTGTATGTACTTCAAATATTATGGTAAAATTTAATCTACACTACTAATTATAACAGCAGTATCTAGCATAGGCCTAGAGTGTGAGCAAAAATACACAACCACAAGTAATTTTACAGCTTAATAAAGCTTATTTACAAATGCCAATATTTCCTCAGTTTCAGCTCAGGCTGTCCGTATCCATACCGGCCACCTGGTACTCCTATTCCCAAGTTGTTTATTTTCATAGTAGTTTATTTAGTAAGTAGCCATAGGAGGATGAAATTGTTTCTGGGGGCACCTGGGTGGCTCAGTCAGTTAGGCTGAGGTCATGATCTCATGGTTTGTGGGTTTGACAGGTCATGACCTCATGGTTTGTGGGTTTGAGCCCCTCGTTGGGTTCTGTGCTGACAGCTCAGAGCCTAGAGCCTGCTTCGGATTCTGTGTCTCCCTCTTTCTCTGTCTCTCCCCCGCTCATGCATGCACGCATTTTCTCTCTCTCTCTCTCTCTTTCAAAAATAAATTTAAAGAAAAGAAAAATTTAAATTATTTCTGGAATATTTTGTGGGAAATATGGTATAATTTACACAATGGAGACTGAATGTGATCTGTTTTTTCTCAATTTTCAACTAACATAAATGAATTTGTCTTTTTATTATTGTATCCTGAATTTTTGCTGCTCAGTCTTTTCTATTTTTAACTGTAATACCTCATACCTAACTAGAGAGGAGAAAAGTAAATTAATATTTGCAAAGAATACTACTTAATAGTAACTCACAAATAGGAAGGATTTTTTTTCCTAGTCTGGTTTCTTTTCATTTAATAGCCTAAATTGTAAATTATTTTTTAGTTAAAAATATCTTGTCAAATATCTACCGCATATTCTGCATTAAAGTAAGAAATACCAGTGTGTTTTGCTCTTACATCCTAACCACATATTGTGATTCCTAATATTGGTTTTAATTGGTTAGGTTCTGTTTATGTTTTATTTTGTTTTTTCCAATCTTGTAAAGCTTCATTACATTTTTTCATTGTTTCCAGGAACGGGTAGAAAATTATTCTAATGTAAGCATCCATTTTAAGAATCCTGAAGACTGTTCCTGCCAGGCTTGTGGATTGCATCGCCACTGTAGATACTCGGTGCATTTATCAGGAAAGTTGTATAACACCAGAACTATGGAAACAGATGATTTCATGTCACATGATAAGCAGGTATTTCTCCCTCTCATTTTGGTTTTCAGTATTTAGAAATTTTCAATACATAAGTTTGCACAAATAACTTATTTTTAGAAATGGAGAAAGTACTAGGAGAAGGGGAAAGAGTACAAGGAAAGAAGGTATAATTTTTGAATGTGAAAAATGTCTTATATGACAAGTTTATAAATGCAGAAATGTTAATGATGAGAACTTCATCTGGTGAGTCTGAATATCCATGAAGGGTGTGTGTTTGGGGAGGCTCTTAGAGTTGCTTCTAAGTACTGCTGGTCAGTTATTATGATAGAAATATGCTATTAATCCAAACTCTTCTACTAGATTAGGTAGTATGATTCCTCAGTACTATTGGCGATAATTGAGCAGATTGAATCTGGGTATCAAGAATCACTTAGAAAGTTTGTATGGGGATAATGAATTCAGAATGTCTTTACTGTATCATTTGGCAAGTTATTATAAAAACACATTTCTTTTCTCGACATAGTCAATATGCAAATCTTATTGTTTAAAAGATGACATAATCATGAAATTCATTGAACCATTAGTTATAATGCAAAAAAAAAGGAAATAATTCAAATAAAATATTAGAGTAGTGATTTAATAAGTTATGTATATCATACCATTTTGTGATAGAATATAATACAAGCACTAAAATAGTATTTATGAAGGTTGTGAAATCATGCTAAGTGAAAGTGAAATAGTGAGCAGTGTACATATTATCCTTGCAGCTATGTAAAAATGCGTGTACACTTGTGTCTTTAGCTGTATGCATACACTAAACTAGTTATTGTGTAACTTAAGATAATGTAATTAAAAATTTTTTTAATGTTTATTTTTGAGAGAGAGAGGGAGAGACAGATAGAATGTGAGTGGGGGAGGGGCAGAAAGAGAGAGAGAATCTGAAGCAGGCTCCAGGCTCTGAGCTGTCAGCACAGAGCCCAACACAGGGCTAGAATTCATGGACTGTGAGGTCATGACCTGAGCCAAAGTCGGATGCTTAACCTACTGAGCCACTCAGGCACGGCTGTAATTAAAATTCTTTAATACTAAAATTTTCAGTAATTTTTTTCTTTAAATGGAAGAATCACCTATTAAAATCTATCTTATATTCTACTGAACTACAGTAGCAATGCATGTATGGGAAGGAAAGGGAAAGGAAAGGGATAGGAAAGAAGAAAATAATAAACTTGTTTTTCATCTAAGGCATTAAAGAGACTATGCCACTCCTATACCCACCCCTAAGTTATTTTGAAAACCAATTCTCCATTTTGTGTTTTTGGCCATAGTTACATAAAATTGAGACTGCTTGGGGTTAACTAGGGTCCCCTTTTAAAGTGCAAACAATGAAGAATGCGTGTAATGAGTATATTTAATAATAAAACTTTTTTCCTTACTTATCCAAGATTAGCTTTTTTGAAAGACAGGATGCTTTGATGGAAAGTGGTATTGGTAGGAGAGAGTAATTTTAGTTACAGTAGTCTTGGATAGGGTACTGAGACAAGAGGCCTTGGACCACCAGAGTGTGGTGAAATCTGGGGGCATAGATGAAAAGGAAATCACTTGGAGGAAAGGAGCGAAATCTGAGAGGCAGTTGGAAAGACTGACAATAATCTTGAATTCATTTGAGTTTTCCCAGAATCTGTCCAGACTCCTAAAGATGCTCAAGATCCAATGGAAGAGGCAAGAATTTTGAAATAATTATCAATGTGTGACATGTCCATGAAAAAAACAAGCCAAGAGGAAATAGAATCCTTTGGCTCAAGCCTATTGTGCTAAATGTTTCTAGAGACCTAGAAACAAAAGAGAAACTTCTTCCCGTTCTTCCTCTTTTCTTGAGGATCTTTTTCCTTTCTTCTCTATTGTTTCACTTCCTGGCTCCTCTGTATATAAAGGAGGACCTAGAGAAATGCCTCAAAAAGCTCTCTATAATTAGCTGGATATTACAAATGTGCATAATGCATGTTTCATTGTATCCTTGCCTTAGTTTGTTAAGCAGTGTGTTCACACTTCTACATGCTGTATCTAATAAATTACAAATCAGATTCCTTCTATGGCCTTACAATTCAAGATCTGCTGTTTTAGGAAAATTTGGTGACAGGTTTTAGCTCCATTTCAGATTGTATCTCTGGATACATAGGATACCTAATTCACATTGATAACTGAGGTGACTCAGTTAATTTCAGATACATCAGTTTATACAACTATGCCAACTAACCCTGAACAGTGGATTAGTAACCATTTACATGCCTTTTTCCTTGTCTGCTTTGAGAACAATCATCACAGAACTTACTTCTCTATCTCTGGCAATTTTTTTTTAGTATTGTCTCTCTTGTTAGAATAGTGTCCTTAATATCCAGAAATGCAATTAGGTAATTAAAAGTAATTTCTAAATAAGTTTCTTAACATTTAAGGTCACTGTTGTTACAGCATAGTTTTGTTTTAGTACTTTATATAAATGGAATCCTACAGTGTAAGCCTTGTACACTGTACAGAGAAATTTGTAAGGTATAAGAGGCTGTAACAATACACTACAAACAGGTGGGGTGAAGGGAGAGGCCTACTCACATTATTATAGCTATTACATACATTTACTCTTTTCTGTGAACCCCTACTAACAATGGTGTAGGCTCTTCCACAGAAAATGTGATCACATTTTATGATAACATAGTATGAGAATATTCTAAAAGTAATTTGGGTTTATTGATCTACATCAGTGTAAGTAGCTGCCAAGAAGGTAGGAATTTGAAGTGGAAAGAAGTAAACTGTAACGTTAAATATTTTCAATGGATATTTTTGTTTCATACAGGCAAAAGATTTTTAAATAAGGATTTTTAAATACCTGTCCTTCCCTCTTGCCCTGACTTAAAAGTTTTAGGCAGATAATTCCTCAGTGTTATGGAAAATAAAAAATATTATGATGGAAAGTTTTTAAAAAGTTATATTATTTTTATACTGTATTTTTATCTAGAATGGCCATAGGAGACCTCACCCACACAAATACTTTAATGAGAGAAATGGAGAGACAGAGGGCACCTCTAGTGGTCACTGCAACTATTGTGGTATCTTTTTTATTCAAAGTAAAAAAGGAAGTATTGGCCAGGTAGTTGTGATGGTTGATATAACTGGTTTGATGATAATGTTGAGGTTACTGAGAATAATAAGCAAGCAATGAGAAATCATACATGATTGTTTCTCTTTTTTTAATTTATTTTTGAGAGAGAGAAGAGAGAGAGAGAGAGAGAGAGAGAGAGAGAGAGAGGATCCCAAGCAGCCTCCGTGCCACCAGCACAAAGCCCAATGTGGGGCTCAAACTCATGAACCATGAGATCATGATAAACTGGAATCAAGATGCTTAAGTGACTGAACCATCCAGGCACCCTTGTTATTATTTCTAATAATCTGAAAACCAGAAAGGTTTTCATAGAACTTGAACAGAAATCTGAATATGGTTTTCTTAAATTTTTGAGGATTTTAAGAAAGATTGTAAGATGTCCCAAGTACTGTTTTCACAAGATGTGCATCAAACCTGTTGCTGATCATATTTAACTTTTATTCAGTTTTGCCAAAATATTCTTCGTTTTATTACTATTTGCCAGTATACTCAGATTGTTTTTGAACTAATCACCTATATGTTCCTTTGCAGTGTGGCTTCAGAAAAACACTACAATTCTTTGTTAGATAGAATGCAAGTTACATAGATCAATATTGTAACTACACCACTTGTACCAAACTCAAGAAAACATAACCCATTAGTGAATTTATGGGCAGAGACAAAAACATAATTTAACAAGGAATTTGTCTCTTTTTTCTGGTTACTTCATGAGAATGAGCTTGATCATGTTATGTTTTTAGTTACAATGTTTAGTTTGTAGTTTTCCTATTTTAGTTTTCACTGTATAACAGTACATATTCCAAACATTCTGAAAGAAATGTTCTGTTGGTTGATTTTACAAGAAGAATATTAATCACAGAATGCTGGAAGTTCATACAGACATAGAAATTAAAATTCTTATAGTTTGCTAGCAGTAAAACACTAATGTGTTACAACCACATCAGAGTCATTAATTAAGGAAACAAACAGGACTAAACACAAAGTTTTTACTTTACAAAATGCTTGTGGAGCAAATTAGTTAGTGAAAACTGCCAGTTGGTTTGAGAGTTTGTTTCAGTTTTACATGTTGCTTATAAGCTAGAACGTTAGCCTAATCCAGGCATTTCTAAGTCAGTAACTGTGTCCATGTGGTCCATTTTCTTGCTTTCAGGTGTGCCTGTTCTCCTGCCTTAACAAGCCATTTTTCTCCTCACAGTTGGCCACACTTTACTAAGTCGAGGACCCCCCTCCCCTCTGGATTGGGTTAACTGCCCCTCCTTTTGATAGCATCTCTTGCACAGCATTTTGACACGTTGTTTTGCAATTAAACACATTTCCGCCTCTGCAGTGCTTAGCCTAATACTTGAAGAAACATAGCAGATGTTCAGTTTTTCTTAAGTAATTTGTATAATAAGAGAAGGTAAATGAATCATTGTATAAATATTTTGAAAATTAATAATACATTTATTAGATTTTGCTGTTAAAGAAAATCTCAAAACTTGAAAGGCTGTATAATCATTACTATGTGTCTGACTTTGTATGTCAGATAATGTTTATTCCTTGATTTAGGTGTTTACTGTTGGCAGAATTTGTGCTAAGCGTACCAAAATTTATCACAAACTGAAACATTTTAAGTTCAAGCTGTACCAAGAATGCTGCTCCATTGCAAAGACAGAAGAAGTTGAGGATGAACAGGTTAAAGAAACAGTGGAAAGAATTTTCAATCAGTCAAGAGAAAGTGGCTGGATTAAGGAGGTAAGGCGAATACAGAAGAATCATCTCATTCATAGATTCTGGAGCCTAATTATGATCAGCAAAAGGATACAAATGATTAGAAAACTGTGAAATTTAAAAGAGAATCTCTCCTTTTCCCCCTGTCTTTGTATTTTCTCTTCTTCCACCCATTCCTTTCATGCTTATCATTGCCCACCCCTGAGTAGGTGCCCTGATGTTCTAAGCACTCCTTCAGCTCATCAGATAAATTGCAATCAGCAATAATACTGTCCTGTAATGAAGGACCTCTGTCCTTTTCAGTTTTATATATATGGTATCCCTTACATATATATTAAGTCCCCGTATTTTCTTTGACGAAGTGTAGGACTCACCTCTGCTTGTCTGCTTCCTATTCTTTAGAACAGTTCTTGTGACCCGAGAGTGAAGAAGCACCTGGTGCCAATCTGAGGAAAGGATCTCGGCTGCCAGTTCTAATACCACCCACATCCTCTTCTTGAGGACGTGGGCTGAGCAGTGAGCACTGTAACTGAAGATCAAGGGGAATGCAGGGGTTTCAGGCCATGGCACTGATTTTGATTCCCCCAAATCCTGTTGATCACTAAGTTTGATATCAGGGATAAAGTGGGGGTTTTGAAGAGTGCACTGGATTCCCGAAGATCTGCTGGCAGCTCAGAAGCTCTGGTCTGCTCACAGAGCTTTTAGAATTGTTTATGGTACTTGGAAAGAATGCTAATATGATTGCAGTCTTCTAAAACAAGTCTAGTTACGTGAATGTATAAGAGAAAACATATAGCAGATTTTCAGGCAACTCAGATCAACAGTATGTTTAATCTTAAAAAAAAAAAAAAGCCTGACTTAAGATCTGTTGCCTGGGTTATTTATATCATAGGAGAATTTGTAAAAGAGGAAAATAAAAAGGAAGAGAGCTTAGTGAATAAACTTATGAGCAAAGGGAAAGAAAAAGAGAACAACAAACAGGAACTTGTTAGGACACGTCAAATTCTGCAGGGTGTCCCAGTCTGGAGAGTGATATCAGACTGGTTTTCCTTCTGAAGATTATCTTCCCACCACAGCCACCACCCGGTGATCTCTCTGCCCACCCCCCACATCTCAACCTTTCCGTAGTCTCTTCTCTCATTTTACTCTCCTCAGCTTTTTATCTTTTACTTTGCTTCAGCTTCTCTCCCAGTGCTCTCCTCCCTGTCCTCCTCTGTGCTTTTCTGTTTGCCTTAGGGAGAAGCCACCACTTAGCCAGCAAGTCGCATCTTCATTTTCCGTGATGACCTGAAATTCTTACCTGCTTTCACTGGTGCATTTAAGTGTTGCCAACGCTCTCGTGGAGTTGAAAAACCTTTTGGGACATCACATTTTTTAAAAGAATTGTGTGCTAGGTGTAGAAAAATCACTGTGCATTTATTATATATATTATATATAATAATAGTATATGTGGGGAAGAACATTGAACTTCTTGCAGAAAAATCCCCAAAAGCATTTCCAGATCATGTACCTTAGAGAAAGCTTAACAAGGTTTCTAACAGGAGGGACCTGGAATAAGAGAAAAATATTCTTGGAAAAAGAAAACCCAAGTGTTCTCTTATGCTTCGAGAACAACACTTAGCATTGGGCATTTAAGGTATTTCAAGATCATGCACGTTTGGGACAACATGCACATTTTGTTTTTCACATAAAATACCACAGCGCTTCATTTTCTTTCTGAGATCCCTCCTTCTTTAAAAATATTTTTCCATACATTTTCTCAAAAGATTTCCTAGAAACTAAAGTTTAGAGCCAATATAAGCCCATATGCAGTGTTTTGTGCTGTGATCACATTTCAGAGCTCCTCAAGCTCTCTGACGTTCCTGAGGACCACGCCACCTACCTCTGGGAGCGCGCATGTCCCGTGTGGCCGCGCTCCACGTGCTCATGACACACGCCTTTCTCTTCAACTGCCCTCTCGGTGACCCCAGCCACCCACACCTTTTCCAATGCCGGGGCTCAGCGCTACTTGAATGGCCAGATCTCTGGCCCTTTTAGCTCTTATCCTCCCAATGATTATGTCAACCCCTTCTTTACCTCACACAAACGATTTAGTCGTGTCTTTCCTGCCAGCTTTTTTGCACACCTTGCTTTTTCCCTTATCTGCCCCTTCCTCCTCCAAGCATTTTTCTTCCTCTATCTCAGGATATCTCAGCATTTCTTCCCAAAGACCTGCCAACTAGACTGACTTCCTGTTCCTCCTCCTCCCCGTTGAACTAAGATGATCTGTTTTTAACCTACGATGACATTAAAGGGTAGGAGGAACTTGAGTGTTAATAAAAGAGTGAATGGGGAGTTCCTGGGTGGCTCAGTCAGTTGCCTAACTCTTGATCTTGAGGCTCAGGTCTTGATCTCATGGTTTTGTTTTCAAGCCCCACATCAGGCTCTGCGCTGTGTGTGAAGCTTACTTAAAATAAGAAAAGAATCCATGAAAAGAAAATTATAATAAAACCAAAACATATAATAAATATAATAAAAATGATTGCCTCATTCTGAATTACACTTGAAGAACACACTGTCATATACCACTGGCAAAATTCTAACAAATGTTTCTCACTAAGAAGAAGGTGCATGTGATGATGGGGTTTCCAGAGAAGTTGAAGATAGGGTTTTTGGGATGGGGTGGTGAAAACAGGAATATCAGGAAGTGGAGAAAGTATGTCAATTATACTACCAAGTCTCAGTTTTGTAGTTGTATGTAAAGTTTAAATGTATTACATAAACATTGTTACATAAGAAAGAATTTTATATTATGATTTGATATCTCACCCCTTCCTGAAATTCTTGCTATGTGGTCTCTTCTCTTTTCCCCCTTTAAAACTTTTTTTCCTTTTCTTTTTCTTTCACTCCTTAAACTGGTGTTTCTCAAGTCACGGCCCTAACTACCTATGTCAGAATCACTGGGATTCTGTAGAAAACGTGTAGTTCCTGGCCTCACTGCAGACCTATGAATGAGAATCCTTGAGGGTGTTAAATACCCAGTATTTAACAAGTTAGGTGATTCTTAAGCAAATTAAGGATTGAGGGCCGCTGGATAAAGGTACTTGTTGCAGGGCACCTAGGTAGCTCAGTCAGTTGAGCATCCAAATTTGGCTCAGATCATAATCTGTTAGTTTGTGCCCCTCATTGGGCTCACTGCTGTCTGCATGGAGCCAGCTTTGGATCGATCCTCTGTTCCCCCTTCTCTCTCTGCCCATCAGTCCCCCACTCATGCTCTCTCTCAAAAATAAGTAAACCTTAAAAAAAGAAAAGGTACATGTTGCTCCACATTCTGTTCTCCGCCTCTATAAGCTCTGCCTTTGGAAACCCATTCCTTTCTTCATGTCTAACTGCTGTTTCTGACCAGAAGACCCCAACCTCCTTCTTTTATGTTCTGATCTCTTTCTCACACTCTATTCCCACAGTTCACATTTTTAAATCAGTAGGTCCACCTGGAACTCAAAGGCTTAACATAATAAGATCCAAACTCTCCAAATTTTTAGTAAAAAAGAATGATGGAAACAGAATCTTTAGGTGGAGAGAATGACCAGGCAATACTAACTGCCTTCTCTCTGAGTTTCACTTTTTTATGGAAAGCCTTTCTTTTTTCTTCCTAAAGCGGCACCCCCACCTTTAAATGTCAGAAATAGCATACTATGATAGTTAGAAGCATGGATTTCAATATTTTCCAGCAGTAGAACTTGGAGGCAAGTTACTTTATTTCTCTAAGTTGCCTCTTTACTAAAATAGGAATTAAAACAACAAAAATAGAGTTTTGATCATGGATATTAAAAGATCAACACATTTTAATGATTTAGTATTGGACCTAACAATTAGTAAATGACCAATTAATGTTAACTATTATTAGGAATAAAAGCAAGGAGAGGTTTTCCTTCCTTTTCTTAGTACGGCTGGGATCGCAATTCTCCAAAAGAAATTTAATAAGAGGAAAAAAATATAAAGATAATACAAAAAACATAAAAACAATCAAACTTTTAATGTATAGGTTTCTAATTCTAAAATACTTTGCTCGTATCTGATAGAACCTGTCCAAAGGTTATCCACTGCCCCCCTCTGTTATATTCTTCATTCTTTCCAGAGAAGGTGATCCAGCCAGAGGTCTTTGAGGGGGAAAGTTTTCATAGCCCTGTCTAGAAGGAAAGCACACTTCTCCTTTATCTTTCCATAGGTTCCTACCACCACAAAAGTCAGGTCATTGGGATCCTCTCTCTCTTCATTGGGAGTAGAACAAGAGTTTATAAGTAAAGAAACCATTAGGTCAGTTAATTCTCCTCAGCTGAAGTCAGCATTTTGCACTCTCTCGGTTGTGAGATTTCTAAATCATCCTGACCCCTCTCATCTCTTGTCCTACCCTGGGTCTTAGCTTTTCATCTTCATTTCTGTCACTCGGATTTGGGACCTCATTATCTAACTTATTATAATAGACTCCTAACTAATTGCTAAAGTTTTCTAGAATGGCTGTTTTACCATTTTCTTAAAACACACCTCAGATCATATCAATCTCCTGCCTCATATTCTTTAGCAGTATCACATTGCCTGTCACATTATTGCTAAACTCCTTCACCTAGCATTTCATACATTTTATTCTCTGACCACAAACTCTTTGGTTCAGTCTTCTCTTTCTTTTCCCCTAAGGAACCTCAAATTATAGTTAAATCCCATAAATTCTTGTCTTCTCACTGTTGTATGGACTGTTGTGTCCTACAGAAAACTCTCACCAGCAGATCTTTGCCTGCCAAACCCTTTTTCCCAGGTCAGCTTAAGTGATTCTCCTTCCCGATCACCTCAACTAACCATGGCTACTCTTCTGAACCTTCATAACAGAGTCTGTATACTTCGTCATGGCACTTGTTATTGGTGTAATACCAGTGAACTCTGGTCTCTTTAGGATCAGGGAAAGTGATTACTTTTGTACCTAGACAGTCATTAGAAAGTGTTCAATAGATGTCACATGTTCAAAAAAGTTTTGTTGAGGAAGTTATTGAAGTTTGTTATACTTCTATGAATATGATAATAGAAAAATTATATTTTATAAGAACATTATGAGATTAACAGTAATGTTCAGTTTGGTCTCTTTCCACTCTTTATGAGTTAGAAATGCATATTTGAAATTGTGTCCCTGATTAGGAGATTTTTGTTCATGATTATCATGAAATGAACATGTTCCTACTTGCGTCTGTAGATTGAAAAGGCCTACCTTATCTTCTTTGCTTTGAGTAAAATAACTAGCTTTTCTATTGTATACACAGAAATATGGTCAACTTCAAGAATATCTAAATTTGGCGGATTACTTTCAAGATGAGAAGTTTGACTGAATTGTAACACATTTCCTTCAGAGAAGATTTTATAAATTCCTGTAAATGTGAAGATCATGAGTCTTGTTTCTCTGTATCATGTGACATATTTGTAAATTTTATGTGTATTTTCATGGCAAATATCTTGTTAAAACATATGTTCATCTTAATATCCATGAAATGGCACTCTACAGTCAAATAAAAGTTTTATCTGCTGTACATAGAAAACATAAGCCTAATCATTTTTAAGTAAGTGTATTTTTAAAGTTATGAAACAATGCCTTTATAACAGATGATTATCAAGTGAATGAGCTGTTCATGTCCTGTCAGCTTAGTAGACTGTATTTTAAAAATGAATTTAGATTAACATCTATGTGTATTTATTATTGAATCTCTGCCCAGATCTGTTTATTATCCTTTCCAGTATTAAGTGATCTGCACTGATACATTTTTTACTGCTATCATTATCTACATCAGTGGGCCATGGAAGAAACCCAATGTTTCATTAAGTTCAATCCCCTCACCTCAGAAGCAGACTATAGTTTACCCATTCTAACTAGAGGAGTGTTTTTCTCCTTTTGTAAAGTTTCCTTTAGAAATAGATCTCCGGCCACCACAGTCTGTCAACCCTCACATTCAGGAATAATTTCATGATGTGTTTTTTCATGCCTTATAATGTTCTCTATATTTTTTATTTGATTTTGTCTACATGTTAACGATTAAGATGTGTTTTATTTATTTTTATCCATAACTTTTCCTATATGTGTATTTCTGTTAGGATCCGAAGATCTCAGAGAGACAGATTCAGCCAAAAATAGTTTAAAAGCATATTTTGGCATCTGCATTGCTTTGCACATTTAAATTTTCTCATAATATAATAAAGTAAAATGGTTTTATAGTGATCAAATTGACCCTGTCTCTTCTGTATCTTTAATTCTTAAAAGTAGTGTCATGGTAAGATCTACGTTAAAGTGGAATTTTAGATAATTGTTTCTGACCTCAAATGTTGACTGAACCTGGCTTCATTTATTATGTGGTTCATGCATGGAGTTCAGAGTATGTGCGTACATTTAAAAAGCTACATCATATTAAGTTCTTACACAGATTACTTAATATTTTCTGCAGATCATTTTCTGAAAGTATCCCTACTACTATTGTAAGCAAAATGAGTAGAAAAAGCTCACAAAGTGCCAAGAAAACTGATACTGATGTTTCATATGAGGAGTGCACACCTTTTTGAAAAGAGTGCAGTAGAAATTTTCAGTCACATATCTCAATTCTTACTTCTCTGGCATATGGAAATAAGCCTTAACTAAAATGAGGCCATAGTTGAAAGTTGAAGATGCAGTGACAGTGCCCAGAAAGAAGCAAGGCAGAACTGAAGGAAAAGTAATAGTCAAGTTGGAAGGGTCATGAACGACCTGTAGAAAGGAAGGGCAAGGCAAATCAGAGAATCATGTGTAAAGCGTCTCTGCGGACCCTGGAAGCATCACTTCTCACATGCAGCACTACAGACGAGTTTGCGACCGCTGAGGAGTGAGAGCGCCTTCCACCGGTAGAGTTTAAAACATAATTTAGTACCATGCATTTAGCTTGTAAAAATTAAGGCATCATCGATTACAGGGACTTAAGAGGGCAGATGACTCGCCCCTAGGCCAGGCATCTTGCCGGTGGGAAGCGTTTTCCCTGTTGGAACAGCACTGTGACTGTCGATCAGGAAATGTAGGAACCAGTTTTGCTAGTGTCTGAGGTTACTGCAACTGAGCAAGCCTCTTCAGTGGGTGTCTGCAGAATACAAGAGGCTTTTAGGTATATAGTAACACTAAAAGAATGGCAGAGGAACAGGCTGTTAGGAAATGAGGATGAGCATGGTTTAGGGGCCCAAGCAAGTAGTCCATAAGAAAATGGAAATGTTGAAAAAATTGAAATAACCTTTACAGGTGTTACGACATTATTTTATCATCAACATAACCATCTATATCATCAGTTGGATAGAAGACTAAAAACTGGTTTGTAAACTTAAAATCCCAGATGTCTGTGAACTTTTTAGATCTGGGCATTTATCACTGTAGCATTAGGTGCTCTAGTGTTAGACATGGTTAGTTGAGATGATGAGGAAGACAGGAACGGACAAGTAAAAGGAAAGTAATACTTGAAAGAATTCATATAGCTACACGGAAGCATTAGGGTTATGAGAGAACAGTACCATAAAGGGGAGGAAAAATAAATACTTCATTGGCAGTTGGATGTAGGTGACCATGTTTTCTCAATTGTCTGCTCTCATATTGAGGTGAGTAGTTGTATTCAATCCTCATTTCTCGAAGGGATTATGGGACAGACTTAGATTCTAGCAAGATGAGTAGAGTGTGATTCCAGCTTTGCTATATTGAGGCACCGACCTCAGTAGTTAAGAAAGCATAGATTTGAAATCAGTCTTGAACTAGAGTCCTGAGCTGTGACATCCAAGTCACATGAACTGGAACAAGTAGTTTGATTTCTGTGATCCATAGTTTCCTCATTTATAAATGAGCTTAATAAAACTTACCTTCCAGGTTTGTGGATTAAGAGAGATCTGTGGGAAGTGCTGTGCCCGAAACAGTGATTGTAAATAAACAATACCTGATGTGGATGGAAATGAGGATGTGGATGATAATGATTTCAGCCTGAAACTAAATGGCTGTAGAGGACAAATATATACAAAAGACACTAAAAAAAGTGACTTACACCACAGAATATAGTATGGAAATTTATTAAATTATTGCTTGAGAAGTTTTTAAAGTCTATCCCTGTCCAGCATGGAAATCAAAGTTTATATTAAGGAATAGTAGATTTGACTAAGGACTCTGTGTTACTTACTAATGAAAACCAGTGCTAGTGCATGACTGTCAAATGAACTGTAAATTTTAAATTTAAATATTACATTTTCTCTTTTATCAAGTATGATTGCTGAATATAAATAATAAGCAATAGAAGATAATGTTTAATGAATACAGCTTTTTAGAAATCAAATATAAAATGATCAAAACTCCTTCGATTTTTAATGACACCTCATGAGAGAGTTCTCCGTCAAATATGCACTCCTAACAAAAACAAATCTCTGCCCCTCTCTTCACAAGTAGTGAGGGACCTAGCCTTAGAAGGGACAGACAGAAGTATGTTCCAATGAAAAGACAAAAAAAAAAAAAAAAGTTATACCATCAGAGTATACTTGTCCCCAGTTCCAATAAACATTCCGAAATATGTGAAAATAAAATGGACTAAAGTAGGCCAGCCTATTGGGAACTAAATTGTAAATAAATCCAGTCTCAAAAATGTTTGCATTGATGTTACCTATTCATTTCTATCCATAGCTCAGTTTGGTGATGGACCATGTTCCTGAGATGTGAGAGTTGGTTTAGATTAATGAAATCCCATTGTTTGAGACTTCAAATCCACATGACTCCCAAGTTAGCACACAGCATATATAGGGTCCTGATTCGCCCAATATTGTGCTCACTTGAATTTATTCTCCGTAACTGATAATGACAAGCAGAATCCAATATACAATTTGAGAACTTAAAAGCAGGATCACATGAAGATGAGAGGACAACAACCTGTGTGAGAGGCGTATTTGGTTTATGTAATTAAACTTCTTGAAACTCCACTGGTACTCATACTGAGTACATACTGGTACATATCTGGTATGTAAACCAGATAGCCATGGAGACCTCAGAGGTCGCAGTTGGCATAGGTCATCTTGTATTTTCAAAGAAAACCCTTTACTATCTTTTCCCTAGAACTGGTATTGGTGATTTCATCATCATAAAATATTTTCTTTCTTTCTCCCTACTGATTTGCTTGTAATCATCCAGGTTGACTTACCCAGAGACACACAAAACAGGCAGGCAGGTAGACAACCACACGTCTGCCCTGGTGGAGCCAGCGGTGTGATTTCCTCTGCACCCCTGCCGCCTCCCCCTCCCGAGTCTCACACACACACTCACACGTCTTCCTTATTATACATAATGAACATTTCCTCGGTGCTCACCCAGCGCTCGCATGGGTGCTCAGCGGTATCATTTACAACATATTGAAAAATGAAAACGATATCCTCAGGGGGGCGTATTGTAGGTCTGAAAGGGAAAATACATTCCCTGGCCGGGAATTTCTTGAACATTTAGAGCTGGTGAAGTAGTTGTGTGGAGGCTGGGGAATTTCCCCAGCCTTCCCCGCTTAGCCAAGTCAGGCTGAGCTAAGCGAGCCCCTAACCGAGACGCGCGGGCTTTGGGATTTACCTCTTCAGCCACTGGGCGGCCCTCTGCGTTCCCCTTTCCCCGGTGCCTGGCTGCGATTACTCACTCGCGCAGTGGCACCAGCCTTCCACCAGGGAGCCGCGGATCGGCTCTCCCGCCCGCCCCCTCCCCCCGCCCCCATCTGCAGCTTGCTGGCTCTCTCTTTCTCCCTCTCTGTCTCACTCTCTCTCTTTCTCTCCCTCTCCTATCGGAGCACAATGAAAGCCTGTGTATCGCCGTGACTCCGGGCAGTGGAGCCAGTGTCAGCAAAGCGGCTAACAACAGACGGGAAAGAGAAAGGAAAATACAAGCTACTTTTTTTTTTTTTTTTTTTTCCATCTATAAAGCGGAGCAATACAAGAGATAGAACCACATTGCTTATTGCGAGTCCAGACCCTCAGATCCACTGGCCGGGGATGGAATGTACAAAAGTGGACAGAAAAGTGGCTGGACATGACTCGATGCAATTTACTGGAAGTTTGTAAGTTTGACCATCGTTTGTAAATTACTCTCGGAAGAGTTTCTCTCTTGATACTGTGTTAGAATAGAGCCGGGGGTGAGGAAGCGTAAGCGGGAAAGAAAAAAATGTGTTGAAGGATCTCTCTCAGTGGCTAGCGACTTCAGACTGCTTTCATTTAAGGCTAGGAAACCTTAGAGGGAATGAGGATTTTACCGGTGATTGGATTAGCCGAAGAAAAAAGCATGGTCCAAAAGTCCAGTTACTGACATTGTTAACAATTGAAAAGCGATCTCCCTCTTTGGGGGGAAAGACAACATCCTACAGTACCCCAAAGAGGAGAAAACACCGGAGCAAGGGGAGAGGGAGGAAAAATTAAAAGCCAAAAGACAGTCTCTCTTGATTTTTTGTACATTCTGAACATTGACTTCGAAAATTTTCTGAGACAGCACTTTTTTTTCCACCCCGAGGAAAAGTAAAGGCTGCAGGTTACCTAGACGGGGTAGAGATGTGTTTCTGTGCAGAAACATCCCCATAAAAATTTTTCTGAAACAACTAGGTGAGGGGGAGTCCAGCTCTCTATTAATACCTCTCTCAATTCCCTTTGCTGTCTGTTTCTGTCTCTGGCTTGACAATCCCTGAATTCTTGCTCTAACCCCCATGATCGCGTGTTTACAAAGTGCCTAGCGGCTCTTGTCAGCGTGGTGGGGGGGGGGAAACACCCCACCAACTCTGTCCAACTTCTCAAGAGCTGTCAAGTGCAATTAGAGTAAGTTGATAAGGGTTTGTTTCCAACTAAGCCTCTCCGATTGGTTTCTATTCTGTCTCCTCACCCTCTTTTTACCAACTCCCCTCCCCCACACCTTCTCCACGGCTCCCCCCAACCTCTGAAGACCTCTATTCATGTGGCCCTGAACACTGAGCTCACATTGTCAAAAACAGATTTGCCTGCAGTAGCCAGCACTAGCCTCCTTCCACCTCACCATCCCAGAGGCAGCATTGTGTCCAGTAACATGGGGGACACAGCGCCCCCACAGGCCCCCACAGGAGGGCTAGGGGGGGCCCCTGGGGCGGGGCTCCTTGGAGGGGGCTCAGTCACCCCGAGAGTGCACAGTGCTATCGTGGAGCGCCTCCGGGCTCGGATCGCCGTCTGCCGCCAGCACCACCTGAGCTGTGAAGGACG